AATAAACACTGCAATTAAAACTCAAACAGGTATAGACTGATCGGTTACTTGCTCCATTGGCCACCTATATTTAATTAATTAAAGGATCGCCAATTAACTAAAATTTTCATTTATTATTAGCTTAGATTTAATTTAATCGTAACAGGAAAAAAAGGTGAGAGATTTTTACTCTGGATCGGTGTCCAAAATACCACCTTTTTTACTATGCTTCCTAGCAGTTTCCGGTTTCTAGATTTTTTGAGTTTTTCCGCTAAAAACAAAACTTATGTCAAAATAATGTAGAAATACGCAAAAAAGAGAAAAATCTCGCCGGAGGTTGATTTAGGATTCCAGCACGGTGGTGTCGTCGTGCTCCACCGCTAACTCTTCCTTCAACGACAGCTCTTCCTCTCGGTCAGGTCAGTTTTGATCGGTTCTAGGTGAAAACCTGTTCAATTCGTGGTTACGCGGTGTCTATCGATGGGAAAAAGAAGAAAACAAGACTTACTGGTGTTTACGATCTCCAGCACGGTGACTCAGCCAAGTTCTACTGCTCCTCATTCGAGCCTCATGGCTTTTTCGGTCACCCTGTGTAACGACCCCAAAAATTTAAAAAGAAATACATATAATAATTTGAGTGCGAAAGCGAAATAAAGGTTAAGGTTAACATCCCTTACACAATAACTCAAAAGTACTAACAAACATCACGGAACAAATTTTCTGAAAGAAATACAAAAAATGGAAAAAATAAAGAAAAGTATAAAATATCTAGCATCTACTCGTAGTCTTCTTGTAGATCGGGTTCGGGAATCGGATCCTCCTTATCTGAAATGGTTAAATAAGAGGTGAGCTACACTAACCCAGTAAGAACATCACAATATATCGCCGTCACAGAAGTAATTGTTGGTAAAAAATCAAAAATAACCAATGGAGCACAAATTTTAAATAAATTCGTTTATCATAAATAAAACTATTTACAGTTCACTTACCATTGTGAAATTTATGAAAACAACCTATTGAGACAATAACATCATATAGATCATAACTTCATGCACAATTAGTAACATAGAACATATCATAAATTCATATTCATTCATAATAACTAATCATCACTGTTTCTCATTTCACCAGTCTACTAGTATCCATGGAGATCCATAGGGGTGTCCCCGCTACACGTGAATCATTTTCCTTAAAAATCTTAATTCCAGGGTCGTCCCCATTTCCTGTTCGATATGAGCGCCAATACATTAAATCTCAATACCCCGTCCGGTATGAGCACCAAATGACCAAGTCTCCATATCCCGTTCGGTATGAAACAACGTTCACGGTAGGGTTTCTTATTAACCCGGTCCGTCCACCATCTCCTAGGATATCTAGTGAGGCTGTCACCTTATCTATTTATCATATCACATCCCATACCTTTTTGTCCTTAATCTCCGTCACCAAATCAAACAGTAGTGAAGTAAGCAGTTATACATGTTTTTAAAACCATAAGATCGATAAACCAGATATCATAATGCATTTAAACTATAAATAAATCAAACAGGAATCGACAGAAATAGTATCCCGGTTTCTGTCGATTCGGGCTCCATTAGTACAGTAATTAGTATGCATATCTATTTATTTGTACAAATATAGTATTATCATTATTCAAACTTC